GCATCCCTTCATTTGACATACTCCAGTTTATTATTTCTTGTACAAATCAGGTCATAATACTCTAGATGTCATCTCATGAGTGTTGATAGAGAAGGATCAACCTTTTCAATCTGACCAGGAGATTTTTTTACTTTTGTTGCTACATTGACTTATTGCTGATTCATGCTGTTGTCCACTGGGACGCTCAAGTACTTTTCTGCAAAGCCACTTTCCAGCCAGTCCTCACTATGCCTGATTGTTATATAGGATTGTTGTATCCCAGGTGCAATTTTAAAGGCAGATTTGAAATGCCATGTCAAGCAGCTCTGAGGCTATGTTTACACTAGTAAAAATAAATTTAAGCTTGCCAGAGGTCTAAGCATCAAAACCTTGTCATGCTCTAGCTGAATGTTAATGATCATTTTGTAATTCAGCATTTATAGATGTATGATATTAGGAACCTATCTAAAGGTACAAATGAATGTCTTCATACTTTCTGAGGTTTAATTGTAGGAAAAGGTTGTCCAAATCAGTAAATATGAATCACTAGGAGTTGCAGGGTGTCATGCTTAGTAAACACTGTGTAAAAACACAAAGCTCAAAGAAACAATTCATAAATACTTAATTCAGTTTGGGAGAATTTAGGATCATTTTAACCATGGTTTTTGCACAGTCTAGGTAAACTTTGTTGAAAATAGATAAGAATCAGAAGTTATTGCCTTTGTTGCCCTTCACCTGCTGGGGCTGAAGAGCTGAAGAAAGGTGAAACAATAGAGTGCTTTTCCTGGCTCTGTGCTGCACAGAGAAGTCATTTTTCTGCATGGGGTTGGTGGATCATTGGGAGCTACCACAGTTTAGACATTTTGTTCACTGTAGGCAGGTGCCAGACGCAGCAATCTGTGCCTGTCTGTGTTAGATAACTCTCTAAATGCAGCACTTTTTGATATTTTGCCAGCCTCTGTGGTCATCAGCAGAAGAAGGATGTGGAATTCTTAAGTGGGTCCAGAGGAGGGCTGTATTCAGTGTGGTAGGTGTAACATGAAGCATGTCTGGCATTGTTGGTTGCTTCTTTTTCATCTATGTTAACCCAAGTGACTGTAAAGGAAATACATTCTTGACTGGAGTCTATTCCCCTCTTGAGGCAGCCACATGAAAGAGCCAAGATACTTTATGTCAGGTTTTTAATTTTGCCTTATAAGCCTTACTGCTTGTTGTTTATTTTTAGAAATATTAGGGACTGACATTATGCAATATGGATGTTCAGCAATTACTGAGAGAGGAACAGAAATAATTAATCCTCTGGATCCTTTTCTGGCTTTCATCCAGTCAATAGAGTGTTCTTATAAGAGACAAGCAATGGGAACCTGAACCTCACAACACTTCAGGATTGCTCTGCCTGCAGTAAACAGATGTTTCCATACACTCCACTCACAATGCCCCAGTGACATCTAGAAGGATTCTTCTCATCAGCTCTGATCATGAGAATGGCAGGAGGGACCTGCAGCTGGAACAGCCTGGTGAAAGTTCCCTGTCCATCCAGTCACTGGAGTTCCCTCCAGTGTTTATCCTCAAGCAGCCTGGTTAGCCTTGCTCTCAGAGCACACTTTCCATCCTGCCCTTATCATTTCAGTGGATAGCAGCATCTATCATAGAATCATTCAGTCATACAATCAGAGGGTGCTTTGGGTTGGAAGGAACCTCAAAGATCATCCAGTTCCAACGCCACTGTGGTGGGCAGGAACACATTCCAGTAGACCAGGTTGCTCAAAACCCCATCCACCCTGGCCTTGAACACTTCCAGGAGTGATGCATCCACCGCTTCTCTGAGCAACCTGTGCCAGTCTGACTGTCCTCACAGTAACATTTAATCTAAACCTGCCCTCTATTCAGTTGAAAGCCATTCCCCCTTGTCCTCCTACTACTACATGCCTTGTAGAAAGTCACCAGCTCTCTTGTAGCCGCTTCAGGTACTCTAAGGTGCTAAAAGGTGTCCCTCTGTGCTGAACTATCCCAACTCTCTCAGCCTCTCTTCATAGGAGAGGTATTCCAGTCCTTTGATCATATTAATGACCCTCCTCTGGACTCACGTAAGAGGTCCACATCCTTCTTATGTTGGTGACCCCAGAGATGGACACAATATCAAAAACTGCTTCATTTGGAGGGTTATCTAACACATTAACAGGCCAGATTAAGCCCTGAACCTGCCAACATACATCTACAAAACAAAGCAGACAGTGTGGACTGGGTGGTGTGTACAGCTCTCTTTGTAGAACAGAGTCCTGATGGGCAAGTTAAACAAGAGCCAGCAACATACCCTTGTGGTGAAGAACAATTCAGAACCATATCCTGGACTGCCTTAATGAAAACACAGGCAGCAGGCTGAGGACCATTATTCTTTTCCTCTATTTGGGATTTACGAGTGGTGCTTGGAGCACTGTGTCTGGTTTTGGGCTTCCCAGTAACCTGGAATGTACCACCCATTTATTCCTCAGGTGATTCCTATTTTGGTCTGTACACCTGCTCTACCTCAACTGAGAGAGCTAGTCACAGCTGAGGCTGGGCCAGTGCTCACAGAACAGAAGGTCCAAAACACCTTGTGATTTTTAATGCTGCACTTTCCTGTGAGTCGGTTTGATGATCACATCCGTGCTAAGGAATGCTTAAGGCAGCCCTTGGGCAGAGACAAAGGTCTGTGTGTGCAGGCTCTGCAGGCAGAGGGGATAAAGGCAGAGAGAGACTGTGCCTCATCTTCACAGTTATTATCTCCATTAATAATTGTGTTCAGCTTGTGATTCACCCTGGGATTATTGGAAGAGCTTCCCTGGTGCGCCTTGACCCTTTAATTTGCCAACACTTTCTGCACCACCAGGCCTCAAGTGTAAGTTATGAGAGAATAAGGCATATAACAAACTCTTACACAAGCCATAGGTTTTGGGCTATTTAAATTACAGCTGGGAGAGGAGAAATTGTGCAAAATCTTTGGGGGGTACTTGCTCAAAGAGCTAGAAAGATTCAGCACAGTTTCTCTCTCTCACTTTTATAGCTTCTTCACTCAGATGAAACAATAAAAATGTTCCACTGGATTAGCTAGGTGGCTGAACTGTGATTTCTCTGCAACACTTTTTCACACTCTAAAAGCCTAATGACAAGCAATCAAGAACATGTTAATTGGGACGATTGCTCCTAGGGGACCCCAGGGTCCTGGGAAGTTGAAGGTTTTCATTAATTCTGTAGAGCTGGTTGCAAAAAATAATGTTTCTTATCCTCAGGAAATGTCTTAGAAATGTGATAAAATACGAATTTCCAAGTAAAGGTAAAGCACTCAACCTCCTAGAGGACCTTTTTAAACTTTTGTCACCAGGGCTTCCTTCCCTGTTGATGGTTCCTCACAGACTTGTCCAGAGTGGGGTTAGGAGGACACTACCCATTAGTTCAGGCACACTGAAGGGGAGCTCATGACCAGCTTTCTTCTTTGCAGACCTGCAGCCATCCCACAGTCTGTGACCCCATGGACCAGATGTAGCTCCTCCTTTAACCACTTGGTTATCTCAGCCATCCCAGACATCCTGACCAGCTAGAAGGCATGCTGTGGCTGGTTTCCCCATGCCATGCATCAGCCTTGGGCTCATGAGAAGAACATTAAAATGCACTGGCTGGATTTTCCTTTTATTTTTTTATTTTACATTCCTCATTGGAAATAATTGAAGAGCCTGTCATTTAAACTGCCATCAGTAAGCTTGTGGCAAAAGCACGTTGAATCGACAGCCTGCTTCACACATCCTGAAGTCAGTGCCTTGACTTGCCTGCCTTCCAGCCCCGGGGGCTTTGTCTAGATGAGAAGAACACCAACACAAAGCAGGTGGCTGCCTGCCCTGGAGGTGTTTTGTGGCAGTGTCTACAGGAGCTGCAAAAGTCTGCAGAAATAGGGCCTTGCTGTGTGTCTGAGGCAGCACTAGTTGCCTCTTTTCTGTCCTGCACATTTGTAAGATTAATATGGATTTCCTAAGAGATGGGACAGTTATTTGCTGTCTGTAAAGTTAACGTACCAGGGGAATTCATGGGAAAAATGCTCCAAGAGTCATCACTCAATATAAGTGAACTCTGGCAACAGAAGCTTTATTACTGCCATGGCTTAGACAGATGATGATGTTTGTCTAAGTAAATGCTTTCTTTCTGAGTGCCTCATTACCATTAGGAGAGAATCCAGCTCCAGAAAGGGGAGGGATTTCTTACTCTCCCAGTGGCGGCTGGTACCATGGAGCTGGTGACCTCTGTGGTCATTTCAGCAGCTCTCCTGCACCAAGCCTCAGTGGTTCACTCTCAGGGGCATCTCTCTGGCCTGCAATAAGCCATGCTCCCTATCAACTGCACACTGAGGACCACTGATAACCTTTTGCTCCATTAAACAATACTATTTTCTGTATGTGGATGATGGTTTTTATGAGTCTTCCAGGAAGCCCAGACACTGCAGTAGATTCCCTGAAACATGTGTGACCTTGCTTGGCTAGTGCAGTGGCTTGTGCTTTTCCAGCAAATGCACGTCATGAAAATGGGGTGCATTTGGCTAAAGCTCATGGTTAATAGGATGAGCAATCCTTAGGCTGTGCTATATGTGTTGCTGAGTCTTGCTCCATGTTCTACGTCTCCTCTAGCATGGGACAGTCTCATCTCTGAAAATCAGTGCAAAACTGAGGAATGAACCCCTGTGAACCCTGCAGGGTTTAATTTGGCACTTATTGCTACGTTGTGCTCTTCAGCTGTTGTGCTCTTCTTGTCTGCAGGTATTTTACAGCAAATACTTCAGCAAGCTTGCCCAGCTTAAGATTAGCAAATCAACACTTAACTGGGGTCACCCAAGAGTGGCAGAGCAGGGATAAGAGCTCCTGTCTAGACTTCAAAAGCTCTTCCCTGACCCCTGGGCTGCTGTGTCTCTCAGCTGTACAGGAATCAACCTTTCTATATTTTAACACAATCCTTCATGAGGGCTGCACTTCTGATTCCTTATTTCTGTTCTGTAACAGGCCTTGGTATCCTGATGAGATGCTAGGTCACCTGGAGCTGCCACTTGCAACCATTTCTGCACCATCCCACCTTGCCCTTTCTTCCTTGCACTCCTGTCCTGTCCTGAAAATGAAAAGCATAACAGAAACAAGTAAGTATGAACTTACATGTAAGTCATTCTTTAAATAAACTACCATAAAACAATATTTTGAAAGAAGGAATATTTCAAAAGAAGGAATATTTCAAATCTTCGCATACACCTTTCTGCAGTCTGCTTGGTAAAGGCAAACCAATGAAATACAAGAAAAACACAAAATAAAATATGGGTATTTTGGATCCTGTCTGTAACATAAAAAAAAAAAAAAAAAAAAAAAAAAAGTGAAGTTTCTTATCTGTGTTAGAGAGTACTGACCGTGAGCTGTGTTGGGAGGAAAGGGTTAGATGGCAGATTGCTCAGGTGACCTTGCAGCTAGGAATGCCAAGACCCTGAGGAAAACAGTGTAGAAACCTGATTGTACATGTGTCCTTGTGTTGCATATCTCTGCAGCCCAGTGTTTTGGGATCTTTTAGCCAGCAAGGTAGTGGGATGAATTTACTCTTTGCATTTCAGCTGTGGTTTTTTGGTTGCCCTCAATCATCTGTTTGTGTTGATTCACACAAGCTGTGATTTATTTTTGCATTTGTATGTAATTATCATGGAGTTACAGTCTCTAAGATGATTAATGCCTTCACTTGTTATCTACGCTGACAGTCAGGCAAGGTGGCTTTTGCTATCACCAAAGTGCAGGTTCATATGAAAATCCAGATCAGCACCTTGCCTATCCAGAGTTTTCATCAGGGCCTCAGGAAAGTCAGACAAGGGGTAAGGTGCCTCTGGGCTCCTTGTGTGGACACTGGTGTTTTCTGAGTTACACCACACCTGAGTGCCTTCACAGATACGCAGCACATAGTACAGGAGACTTAATCCAGGTCAAGGCTTTGCACTGGAGCCTGGTTCTTCTCTGTACTGTTGAGGAAATGTTTTCACAAATATTTTACCCTTGTATTTTGCTTTTGAGGATCTTAAAAAAAAAAATAAAGGTGAATTCAGGAAAAACAGGGTTAAAAACAACAGTGAAGATGTGCTTTCTGTTAAGAGAATTTCCTTCTCCCCCCTGTAGGTTATGTCCCCCCACATTTTGTCCCTCTTTCCCTGTAGGTTATGTCCCCCCACATTTTGTCCCTCTTTCCCTGTAGGTTATGTCCCCCCCCCGTTCTCCCTCTTTCCTCTTACTACAGTCCCCTGCCTAGGGTGGGACTTGACCTGTGGTGAGTATCTCAAGGTATCTCACTGCCTGGGCTAGTATCTCAGCTTGGTCAGGCTCGTGCAAGTTACTGTGACAGAATCAGGAACCTCTCGCTGTGCTGGGGTGGCCTGAGGCTCACTGGCCTGCAGGGGAGGATGCTGCAGTGTGTCTGTCTGCTGCAGGTGCCTCACTCCCTCTACCTGCATTTCGAAGAAACTCATAAACATCCTCTGTGACTCAGAAACACTTCATAGATGAGGCTGCAGCCAAGAAATTGTGCAAGCTCAGCACCCTACTTCGTGTGCTGTACACATGTATGAGGGGATCACGTTGGTGCAGGGCTGTGTGTACAGCAGAGTCGTAGTCAGGAAGAATCTTCAAAGTTTTGCCTCTTCCTAAACTACAGTTTTTATTGCTCTGTTTAAACTTCACTGCTATTCTTTTTACAATGCTCTGACACATATATTAGTGGGGATGTGCTGTATCAGAGCTGCAGAACAACCTGCAATTCCCCAGATTCCTCTGTAGATTTTTATGCCAGTGCATCCATAAAGGAACTCCAGATCTTCCAAGTTTTCCCCATGAGACCAGAGTAACACCTTTCCTCTGGAAATACTGTAATAAAACAAAGGGAATACAACACTCCCATTATGAAGATCCCATGGATGGCCTTTATCATTTATCAAAAAGAAAAGGTGTTCCTGTAATATCTGCTAGAACTGTACACGAGGGAGGCTGCTTGGTGGAGCACATTAATAAAAAGTCAGAAGCCTGAAAGATATGTCCTTTTTGCAGATTCACAATTGTGCATTAATTTATTTTTGTAGCTTTTTCTCAATAGTCCAGAGGCTTCTGTCATGAAGCAATTTCATTAAGGGTTTGATCGTAGTGGTAATATAAAGCCAAGATTCCTGCAAAGGCTTCATTGCCCTAAAGAGTGTGTTATTGGCCAAATGCCTTAGAAAGTTTTGCTTGGTTTCTCCGGAGCACAAGTAAAAATTAATTGCCCCAGCAGTAGCTGCAGTGCCATCATATAAGGGTGTCAAAACCAGTCTTTCCAAATGGCATATTCTAACTGAGCAATAGATATGAGACTTGCCATAAATGTGATTTGTGAACATCGTTAATGAAGTACTAGACCTAATTGACTTCTCCTGGCTTTATGACAGCATAAAAAAAGTTCTGCACCACCAATGATATTTCTTTTAAACTTCTCCAGCTGAATGCCTAACACTGCAGAGCTCTCTTAAAAGCAAGATCTCACTAATATTTATTTGGAGAAAAAAAGAAACTGACTGTTAGACAGGATTTCCAGTTCTTTAGAAGTATTAAGAACAGTCCTTCCACTGCAGAGTGAAATAAGGATGCTCTGCAAGTATCCCTGAAAACTCAAGCACCTTGGAGAAGATCAGCTGAGGGTAGTTGCTAGCCTGATCATTTGAGAATTCAAGAATGGACTAACAGAATCAGGCTCAAGTCCCTGCTGTGATTTGGTTCAGGGATTTACGTTTCTGATGTGATCATGTGTTGTTGATCTGAAATCATAGCCATTATATTTTTGTCAATAATTATCATTCTAGCAAGATATTTTGTTTTTCAACTATCTTTTGTTCAGAAGTACTGAGGTCTGTGGCAGCAAATGTCACCATTCATACTAGTACTTGCACTAAAATAGTATGGAACTTTATATTGCTTCTGTAAGTCTAAAACAGCCCAGATACAGCTTTACCTAGTATTTTTAAGGTAAAGCTTAATGAAGCTTAAGGTAAAGCTTATATGAAGCTTGGCTTCATATACAGCCAAATTTTCTATTTGGCTGTATATGAAGCTTACGCTCATAGCCCTAGAAAAAGAAAAATATTTCAATGTCCTGAAAGTGATTTTGTTTTTCATTTACCTTTACTCCCTCCAAAAATCAAAAATTTTGTGTGCTAAATTGTATGTTTTGGCTACAGTTTTGCTCCACACTACTCAGAGTAACTTTTTACATGGTGTTATTACAAGTGAAAATAATCTGAAGGGTAAAATCAAGATGGAATGAAATGACTGACCTCTAAGTATTTTCTTGAAACATTTGCAGAGTACCATTTCACACATTAAACCTTCACTTATGATGAAGGTTGCTGTAATGTCAGACATGGTAAACACCCCCAGCCACTGCTGAGTTAATGAACATTGAAAAAAGACCTTTGAGTTGATGGTAAATGATAAATCCAGTTGACTTAAACAGTTCATGTTGATTAGTCTTGCTCTGTTTTTGTTGGCAGTTTGGGTAAAGGTAGAAAGGGCTTTATGTGGGTCTGCTGGGTCAGCTGGCCCAGGCTTTGCTTTGGGCTTCTTTTGATTCCTCTAGGGAGTCCACACATCTGAGTGCCCCCAGGAATTTATAAATGGGTCTTACTTCCCTGACTGTCCTCCTCCCTTTCTGTTTTCCTCTGTCAGATCCCCAGTGCTGTCAGAGCTTACCGATCTGTTGTACTTTGTTTTGTGGAGTTTGATAAATACAATCAGCTGAAGAAGTGATTGCAGATTGAAAGGTGAGGAATTTCCCAAACATTCAGCATCTTCAATTTACTGATTTGAGTGAATATCAAAGTGATTGTATTAATATTAATCACAGCTCTTCTCTTTCTTCGCTTCATTCCCTCAAGCAGTGCATTTATATATATGTATGAGGAAGACAACAAAGGACAATTATAGGGTGGCTTCTGGGATGTGCCCTGAATCATGAGCACCCTCCTCGTAAAGAGGAGCTGGCTGCAAGCTACTGGCAGAGAAGGCTCTTGCTTCTCTGCTTGTGTGGTTTGTTGTCACTAGTCACCACACAGAGATTTGCAGCTGGGTGTGGATCATGGGCATCAGTGGAGTAGATCCCAGACTATTTGTAATCAGCAAGCAGCCCAAAGGGGAATTCTCCAAGTCCCTCAGGTTTTTTGAGGATCCAAAAAAGACTAATCCCTGAATCTCATTTGGGGAACCCTGTTTCCTTCTGAGCTTCGATTTTAACTGTTCCTCATCTCTGGCTGTGTTTGTATCAGCCACGGTGTGGAGCAGTAGCATGAAGCATTGGGGTCAGCCTGTGGAGTTGTTGCACAGGTACAGATGTCCACACTAGGTGCATCTCAGAAGTTTTACGCTGGACCACCTCAGGAGCCCAGCAGTCACCTGTGGTCAGTGTGCAGGAGGTTCAGCTCCTCCTTGGCTTCATTGGCAAGGAATCCAGCTGCAGCTTGGAGGTGAACGTGACGGCTTCAAACATAAATTTTCATCCAGACTAAAACACTGAATAGGTGTGACCTTTGAAACTGTTAAATTGGAATGCTCTTAAACATTTTTGAGAGTATTTTTTGTTCTTGTACTCCTGCACTGAAAAGATGAATTTAGTTGCAGCTGTAAACTTACATTTAACATTTGGAAATCCTTGTGAATTTGCTGGCATTGAGGCGGCAGTTTGTCTTTTGATTATCTCCCTGCTGTATAGTATGATTTGTGATGTGAACTTTCTTCTGTCTTTCTACTAATCTGCAGCTTGAGTATTCTAAAAGCATTATTTATGCAGCACACTTGACAGTGAACTATGCTGTGCTGATTCCATGGAAACCTCTGACAACACACTACTGCCTGGTCTGACAGATAAACAATGCCTCGTTTTCCCTTATGTCAGCCATCTCAAAGGCCCTACTATGTCAGACCAAAGGTCCATCTGTCCAGTGTCTTGTTTCTAACCATGGCAAATGACAAATGACTAGGGAAAACTGCTGAAATGGGCCAAGAATTTATCCATACTGCTATAAATGCAAACCTCCATCATTTTGGAATCTTGAGAATAAAATATTTTCTTCAAAACTCTTTAATACATACATATATAT